ATTTCACCACACGTTCTTCTTACCGAGTCTCTTTCTCAGTTCGATACTTAAAAGCAATGTCATTATTTAGAGTTGACACGATTTCTAACTGTGATATAGATATGTCGCTGTCACAGACAAAACTCAATGTCTTGTTTTATTGACACCAGTGTGTCTGCCTGCCTGTCTGCTAATGACAATATTCAATACACAACTGCGATCACTGACCACATGCAATTTGAACTTAACACCAATCAGGCTATACACCATAAACAAAACGCATTGGTTTTATGGCCCGAGTTCGGTCTCTGTCACATTATGTTATTACACAGACAGGCAGGTGTGATACTTGAACACATGACATGTTATGATGTCTGTTGATTGCAAAATGTTATACACAAATGAACCAGCCGTTACACTTTAGTGCACACCCACCCGCTCTGACTGGGTTCGGTATCCCGGCTGCTTCGTTTCGAGGGAGGTAAACCCAAGTACAAAATATTGCACTTTTGATTGGCGATTATACGCTTATAATTTTGTTTCTTTGTTTTTTCATAATCAGCAATGCATATTATATGTCATGAAGAAGTGATAATTGTGTTTTAATTATGTTTGATTTTTTGGTTGCATGTGACCTTTAACCCACCTACCTCTCCAGATCAAAATGGATGCCCCTTAAAATCCTTAAAACCATCATCATAAATTGTGAACGGATCCATAATTAAGTTTAAATTATGTATAATATTAATTCCATCACATAGATTTGATGTTTTATGGTTTCACACGTAGTTGTTCTTTTACGGCCTGATTCTTTCCAAAATATTTAGTTTCAACATGGGAATAAACACGCCACAATATCTAGAAGTAGAAACGATTTGGAAATACACTTTACGACACATTAAGCCTTTTACAAAATTGTCCTACGAGACATAATTAAAACAGTTTGTGCATCCTTTTGGGTATGCACCCATTAAATCTGTTTCCATGGAGATTAGTTTCTGGTCATCTGTCAACTGCTTTGCGACGGCCGTGCGACGACTCTTCGTAATTTGAGACGTGTATTTTAATTCCTGGGTAATTATGGAGTATAAAGGCATAGACCTTTGACTAGTTTGCATTAACTGCCACAGTATTAAATATTGATTCGACATTGCATCTGTATCAGTTTAAGTTGCTAAGCAACCACAACATCGATTCAACCGCCACACCTCACATTTACGTTACAGCTCATGTAAAGTTTTCGAAAAATATCTTTGGTCATTATTTCATCCTTAGCATATATTCAAAACAACTGCATGTTTAATTTTGTCAAAACCCTTGTCAGAAAGTGGGCACAGTGCGGAGAGTTTCTGGACTTTTGGGTGTCCAGAATTGAATTGTGACGTGTTAACTGCATTAATTTTGCTTCTATGACATACAAACAACAATAGCAATAACTGGCAAGTGAGGTGATATGATAAACTTGTTCATTATTCAACACAACATGGCGTCATTCTATCTGAAAATGTGCTCCACATATATGTCCATGGTAACACTGGTTACCAAATATGTTCAGATTAATCTGAGTTTCACTGAAAGTACAAATGTAAACTAGGATTAATATACATCCTTAAAAACAAACAGTAATGAAGCGAGTATATCCTTCCGTTGTGTATGAGGCGTTGGGGTAGACTAGTGGTTAAAGCGTTGGCTCGTCACGCCCAAGACCCGAGTTCGATTCCCCACACGGGTAAGATGTGTGAAGCCCATTCCTGGTGTCCCCCGCCTTGATATTGCTGGAATATTGCTAAAAGCGGCAGAAAACCATACTCACTCACTCACTCAATTGTGTTTACACGCAACACACATTATTCCAGTTACATGATGACGGCTTGTAAGTAACAGAGATTGGACCAGAAAGTCCAGTGACTGACATCATGAGCACCGATCTACGCAACTGGGAAAGATGGTATGTGGAAACCAAGACAGCCTGCCTACCCGATCCCGTTAGTCGCCTCTTGCAGGCGTGGGTCGGTTAAGCTTCTATCGGGTCAATTATGAATGTAAAGTGCACAGTTGTCAAGGCAGCTTTAACTGTAAAGCTCGTACATTGTATATAAATAAGTAATGAAATATCTTCTACCTTTGTACTGTCAGAACATAAACATGGGCTTTTGATACCACACGGCATAATGCAGGCAATTCCAGTCGGTAAATGAGATAAGTTTCACGCAAGTTTGCACAGCCTCCATAATGACTAGTGTTGCATTCGTTGTGTACGTGTGTTTGAGATAGTACCTTGACTGTAACCTCGCCAGGTGCTGAAATAGGTGATACAAACTGTGGGGACTTAACATTTCCCGGAGGAATCGTAGTGGAGACAGGTAGGCTTGGCGGAGTGGAATGTTGGACGCAGAATTGCTACAGATGTGTGATTGGGTTGTAATCTTTGGTGCTTCCGTCAATATCAACTTTGCATGTTTTTTAAAAATTATGTTTCCAGGCAACGAAAACGTCTTTAATAGACAATATTATATGAAATGAACACTTTCATCCGCGTTGCTGTCATGGTCATTTCGCTCAACGATATTGCTTATTCAAAACCCTTCCTCAATACGATCTGTATGCGACGTGCATCACATGTAAAAGTATTCATCCATATTGGATGGTAGCTAATATTTAACGGTCTTCGTCGGTCTTGCACTTGATGCCATAATTATGTACCTTAGTTTGAAGCGTTTCGGCAACTGTTTTAACCATTGTAACGTTTTGATGGCATATGTAATTTCTTCGCTGATGTTAAAGTGCGGCAGTGAATGTGTCAATGTCATTGAGTCTGTTTGCATTTCTAATTAAATAATTTTCGGGTTGGGGTAATATGTCAAACATTTAGTGTTGTAACTGCCCGCCCCAAGTTACAGAAAGTTAGTATCAAATACGAATCTTTAGGAAGCTTATTATATGCTTTTGATGGTGCAGACAGTCTTCTACTAGAATTCACTCGCTTCTGTTTTTGCTTGGGAATGTTTCTGATGACCGTTATGTACCTGAACATCAAAGAGTCTGGATGAAGTTTCTGACACTGGTGCCCACCTGTTAGGGCTAAAGTGTAATTTGATTGACCGAACTGCAGATGAATCGCATAGTGCATAGTACATCATGCATAATATACTGGGCATATTGCCAATACATCATAACATGCATTAAAATATGATGAAGAAATAACATTCATGCTTTGCTGCAAAGTCAATAGTATCGATAGGCTTGTAAGTCAATATTTCATTTTTACATTAATATACACCTAAAGGATACATGTATATAGTATTCACCAAGCAATGGAAGTCTTGATATTACTTCGAACACTATGTGAGAGTGAGTAAGTATGGTTTTACGCTGCATTTAGCAATATTCCAGCAATATCACTGCGGGGAACACCAGAAATGGGCCTCACATATTGTACCCATGTGGGGAATCAACATGGGTCTTCGGCATGACGAGCCAACGCTTTAGCCATTAGGCTATCCCACCGCCCCCACTGTGTAAGAAACATTGTCCCCTACACATCTTGGATGATGTGAACGATAACGTGTTTGTGTGAGAGAAAAGGATCGTACTGACCTGAAATATTGTTTCAAAGAAGACTTACGATGGTGATTGTTATAGCGCATATACCACTCCTGAAACAGTTTGACAATAATGTTGGCAAAACCAATATTCATCTATTGTTGAGCGAAAGGCAAATCAGTTCATGTTTAAAGTCTAAAGCTTTTTGGCAGACTTAGCACATTTGATTAAGCCTTTCATGACCAAAGATCATTGTGCGTATCTGCTTTGAGAACCTGCATTGTACAGATCTACAGAATATCACTAATGGAGCTAATTGCAGCGGACGGCCTTGTACCATAGCGATAGCGTTACACTCCTAATAGTGGAACACGTTGATTCATGACAGCTCAGGCAGGTGCGGTATTACAATCCGGAATAACAAATATCGGTTGTAAGATGTTTTGGTGTGTGCTGACAAACCTGGCATATATCACGTCAGCCGCTGAATACGACCCTGGAACCACAGTCCAGATGATGCGATGACCCTGGAACCACTGTCCAGATGTCGCTGTAACCACAGTCAACGGCGATCCGGCAGAAACATCACTAGTCACTGGGGTTAGATCATAGTACGCTCCTGTGTGTAGTGCCCTGTGCATATTTTATGAGTGAGTAAGTGAGTTCAGTTTTACGACACTTGTAGCAATATTCCAGCAATATCACGACGGGGGACACCAGAAATGGGCTTCACACATTGTACCAAAGTGGGGAATCGAACCCGGATCTTCAGCGCGACGAGCGAATGCTGTAACTGCTAGAATACCCAACCGCCCCTGTGCATATAATGACTTGGACAAATAAAACACAATATTTTGCCTCTCACTTTAGCTGCCGCAAGTCAAAAAAGGGACACAGACCCAAGCTCCAAATTCAGCAGGCTTTGGTTTGTTTGTTTGTTTCACGGCCAAAACCTCTTTAATTTGGTTATTGGGGCTTTGTCCATTTCAGTGATTAAATACCGCAATTATTCTTAACTTGTAGGGTTGTAAACGGATTTAGGAGCATTGTCATTAACATGTTGTTGTTTACCAGTCCACACAAGGCACCGAGTGCACCTTCTCATAACCGAGTGACAGCACTTGATGAGCACTCAACCATGTCATCTACTTCAGTGTCGTTCTCCTAAAAAGCAGCCCTTGTGTTGTGAATGCATTCGTTGGGAAATTAATGTGATGTCTTTGGAACCTGTGAATGCTTTGCAATCTGCATTGATTTTACACTACAGTCTTATATTGTCCGAAATACTGATTAAAAGCAAACTAATCCCTTCATCTGAAATTACCTTCCGCTATGGCCAATAATCAATGTACTTAAATAAAAGACAAACCCAGCCAATGTACGGCGTAGGCCCATCTGAATGTAACTATTTTCGTGCTAAACAAAGGACGCAAAAACGATCAGGAGAGTGCAACTAACATCTTGTTTTGTCGTTTCAGGCTGCATGATGTATTTCCGACTGAAGCCGAATGAGACCCTCTCCGACCTGAGCCGAAGGTGGAACATGGACACGCTGTATAGGCCCCTCACGGGGGAAATGGTCACCCTCATTGTCATCCTCGCCGTCTTCACCATTGTTGGCTCCGTTGGCAACGGCCTCGTAATCTTCGTGTTTCAGAAAATCCGTGACAAGACCACGGCACACGTGTTCATTATCACGCTTGCTGTTATTGACTTGTTCGCATGCATGGTGATAATCCCATTTACGATTGTCGTGGAATACCTTCGTTACGACATCCGGTACGACTTCCTGTGCAAACTGTACCAGTTCCTGATCACTTCGGAGATCCCACTTTCGGCATTCATAATGGTGGCAATAGCGTTCGATCGTTACTTCTGCATCTGTCACCCACTGAAGACTATACTCACTCCAAAGAGAACCAAAATTGTTATCGGCTGTTTGGCAATGTTTGCCTGCACGCTTGGGATCGTTACAGCTTTAGCGTTCGGCGTGTATCAACCCATCGTGCTACCGGACTACAGTTCCCCAGATTTGGATGAGAACTCAACCATACCATCCATAACTGAACCCAGAATATTCAGCATGCGACCAATGGCTGACGAGTCCCCGAAGGAAAATGACATAAACAAACTCCTGGTGAGTCGAGTCATTCACTACATGTCTGTGCACAATATTACCCGAAGAGCTGTAATAAGGGAAAGTGGCTTCAAAGGACCCTATACAACTATGAATATGTACATAGGTGTTTGTCAGCCAACGGAGGAAATCCTCAGTTTTGCTTTTGTAGACATCTATCAGAAGGTGTATTCCTCTCTGTATCTTATCTGCTTGGTTATCGTCGGCGTCCTGTACGGCATGATCTACAAGTTCATTACGTCGCGGAGGTCGAGGAAGCTGCAGCAGAAGTTGACAATGTGTACGTACATCAACGGCGAGAATGGATACGAAGCTACGCGCCTGACTCTTCTTAATGGGCACGATGAGGAAAAACAAAATGGCGACAGCGAGCAGATGTCAAAGGATCGTTGTCGAAACGCTTCCGGTAACAGGAATTCTGGGAGGCATTATGAAGCGGAGAAGTTACGCGAGGAAACGAGAGCGGCGAATATCAAAACAGCTTTAATGTTGTTTGCAGTAACTGTCGTGTTCATCGTCGCTTTCCTACCAGCCTGGTTGATGACGTACCGTATTGTTCCAACCGTCATCGTTGTTTTCTATTCCTATTTTGTGTACAATGTTGCCAATCCTTTCATTTATGCCTTCATGAATCACATTTTCAAAGACAACATTCATAAAATATTTAGTTGTTGACATTCATCTCCAAGCAATAAACCGGCAACGAAGTTGGTGGTGTCCTTGAACTAGCTGTGCGTAGTGATCTTGGCCTACATGTGCGCAGTAACCTTGAACTATATATGTGCGTGGTGACCTTGACCTACACCAATCAAATTGCGTGCTTGTTATAACAATAGTGCATGAGTACAGGTGTTTTTATAATGATTAGAAATAGAGTCAGTTTAGAGTTTATAATCCATAAAATGAGATATGTCTTCACGATACCGATACACTACAATGACATATGTTTGACCTATACATCAAGAAGACAAACTCGAAATGTGCCATCTGTGTTAATTAAGAAAAACTTCATTCACTGTCATGCACGGTCATGACTCGGCTCCAGGAAACAAAGCTTATTTGTAAAATATGGCTAACGAAGTGCTGCATTCGCAAGTCAAGGACACAAGCGTACAACTGTCTTCTGTAGTGCACGTCAGACAACACAGATGGAAAACACCAAGAGTGTTTCTGTGTGTGTCAGAAATGTTTGAACGATATAGCAGAATCTCCGTGAGGCACGTAGAGTGTTTTGGGGACAAAGAAAACAAATTTCACATCCTGCGATTCCAACCCGTGTGTGTGACTGAGACTTCATCCTGTCCGCAATGTTGCGGGTCGTGTTTACTGGAAGCGCATCGCTGGCGAGAAATGTAGGAAACTGATAAATCCATGTCATTGTGTGACCTTGGATCTCGTTAATTATGTCCACAAAGAAGTGAAAGATAGGCTTGATGTGATATGTCAGTCGTAACCGAAACTTTAATCGGATTTATGGCCGGAAAAGCTTCGAATGAAGCTTGGATGAATACGTGAAAAAGGATTCTTCACAGTGGGGAAGGTCGTGTCAGTTTAATGTATTTCACTGCTGTGATGCTACAGGTCCCAAACACCTTTTATACAAAATGGATTGTATAAAATCCCTATCACGCAGTGGTGCTGTGAAATAAATATATGTTATGGCCTGTTGAAAGACACGGATTGAAACCAAGGAACTCATGTCCTGGCGAATAGACGATTGGCATTTGAATGTTGAAATAAATAAGGAAAATGGAATAGGGTCATTACGATGAGAAGAAAACACTGAATGAATGTACGAAGATCTTCCCAGAATGTGGGAGAGAGAGTATTTAATAAACAGCTTCCCCCCAACCAGTCCAGCGGTTGCTTCATTGGAAAGACGTCACCTTGGAATATTGCTAAGGCAAATGTGACACTGCTTTATGATGGCGCATGTGGGTGTATGTCTCTTGACTGGTACAGTTACCCAGGTTGAAAAACGTTGTTTTGATTTGCATCATACAGCTGTGCCTGTTTTGTCATCAGGAGTGTTCATACTGGTGGACAAACGAACGCAACATCTCAACAAACAGATCAAAAGCAGGTGGGCAATGAGAATTGTATACTCTTAATTTCAATCTGGGCATTCATCCGCCGGACCTATTTCACAGAAGACATCATCACCCGGATGATAGCCAAGAGCTGATTCTGTTTTGTCAAACTGCGCTTTGACGCTGGCTTATCTTCACAAGATGATCTTCCATACTGCTGAGGAATAAAATATGAAACGGTATCTGAGCACGCCACCTTGGTCTATCATTTCTGTACACGTGTAATCAACCACAATCCGTATCGTGTTGATGACCATGGCTGGGCACCTATCAAACAAACTCAATCAACGTTGTTGTTTTAACCTATACAACTCATTCCCTTCGCTGTACGGCAGCTGTGACGTCCCCCCAGAGGGGCTGTGGTATATGATGACGTTTTCTTTCAAGGACGACGGATGCGACGGTTTTCGCTGGTTAATGTGATGCTGCTCAAGTGTTGACAAAAATGGCAAATATGATTTGCTAATCTGTGTCAATGCATGCACTGACTCTGAAGTTCTTGGTGAAATGTGACAATGCATGTTTGGTGAATATTACACTGCAGAGAGTTGAATGACGACCCACAGGAATGACTCAGTCTTCTAAAAGCCTGGTAGCGCCTTACCGATGCAATATCCCACTATCCCCACCAGATTTATCTGTACCCAGTTCCTAAACAAAAGCTAATGTTTTCATATACAGCTTCAAACTAAATAAACCTTTAACCATAGTCTAACAACACACAGGCATAATTTGTACATAAGACGTTACCACCTGAATTATATACTATGGCTGGTTATTTGGACAATGGTTTGTGCTATGTGGCTAACTTTCAGTGAATATTGTATCTGGTCACATATTGACTTAACTGTTAAAGTAAAGTGTCAGGTTATACACGTCATACATTTTCTTTCCCCTTTCCTGTGTCATCAGTCTATTGATCTACGAGCTGAACATTTTTGGTGCACTTTGTTTTTACAAATGAATGTTATGCTGTACTGATCTAAAATGTATAGTCAAGGGCTTGGAATGGGTGGAATAGGAATGTGTCAGTTCTGTACCGTGATAGTATTGTTGTATGTATAATCAGGTATTCCTGTCAATTTATTACCATTGAACTATTGCCTTTGAATTACTGACAAATGAAAGTGTACATTGTCAAAACCGTTGTTCATGTTGAATAGAATGTTATATCACAAGTTTAACTTAATGTGCCATTTTGAATACTTTTGATGATGCTAGCATGCAGCATGTATGTTATGTACAGTTGACAGGGATACAGAAACTTGTCAAAATAATCATTTATATGTATAAGTAATGATAAATGTGTGTCGTATTATACAAAGATCTTTCAACTGTCAGTGAGATCACATTCTTTTATCATTTTCAGTTTGCTTGAACACAGGATTTAATGTGAGAAACAACTTTATTTTTATCCAAATTCAACCACAATCTACATGCACACAGCCAATCAAAGAGTGAGTGAGTGAGTTTAGTTTTACGCCGCGCTCAGCAATATTCCAGCTATATGGCGGCGGTCCGTAAATAATCGAGTCTGGACCAGACAATCCAGTGATCAACAGCATGAACATCGATCTACGCGATTGGGATACGATGACATGTGTCAACCCAGTCCGCGAGCCTGACCACCCGATCCCGTTAGTCGCCTCTTACGACAAGCATGGGTTACTGAAGATCAATTCTAACCCGGGTCTTCTCGTTCTTAGAATTGTTTTGTTAACTGACATGTGTTTTATACGATGTAAAAGATACATTATATGCTTAGTTTTCAATTATGAAAAATGTAAATACTAGTATATTTCTCGTTGAACATTTGTGGTATTCGGTTATTTGTTTGTAAAAGTATTGACACGTTGTAAAGAATATTTGGTTTATGCCACATAATGCGATATATCGTATATTTCCATAGTATTGCAGTTTGTGTTATATCTCGACATACGAAACATTCGAAATGCAAATTTGTATAATATCCGTGTTGTTGATTTGTTACGTATATCTTGTTTTTTTAAATTGATAACCAATTCGCCTGATGTTTCGCGAAATGACAGTCATGTATTCAGACTGACCCCTACTTGAAGTACATGACTGGACTTTCGTGGCTGTGCATTCTGTGCGGGCAATCAGTATTGATGTTGTAAATAGTTGTACATAATTCATGTTTGGGGCAGGTAAGCAATATTGCATGGCCCTTATGTTGGAATGGTGTATGATGACACCTCTGTGTAATAAACAAATGTATCATGGTGTAATATACTTTTTTGTCAGTCAGCACAAACCTGTTCCTTAGGCTATCGCGTATTGTTACTGTGTTATGCTATACTTCACTGTACTATATGGGTTATAGTTGAAATCGCCCAATGGACTTTTAAAGACAATTCTTGATTTTGGTTTGTTTGTTGTTTAACGTCGCCCTTCAGCAATATTCCAGCAAAATGGAGGCGGTCTGTAAATAATCGAGTCTGGGCCAGGCCATCCAGTGATCAACAGCATGAGCATCGATCTACGCAATTGGGATACGATGGCATGTGTCAACCAAATCAGCGAGCTTGACCACCCTATCCCGTTAGTCGCCTCTTATGACAAGCTTGGGTTATTGAAGACCAATTCTAACCCGGATCTTCACGTAAGAATCGATTGTAGCGTTGTAATACATATGGTCGCTATGGCTGTAACACAGGCGTAATACATTCCAGTTTATGATTTGTGGGTGAGAACACAGTATTGTAATTATTACAGTGTGTCAGCTTACAGTGGAAACTCTGCATCCCAGATCCACACAGTCGAAATTATTATCACTTATTGGTGCTGAGCAGCTAGGGCTCATCTTCGATTCGAATGTGAAATTCGAACCTGATTTTATCATGATATTGATATAGACATTTTGAATCGTTGAACTATTCTGGGAATCGAACTCTTTTCCAAATGCGACAAAGGACAAAGCGCCTATCGCATCAATCACACATCAGTGAGAAAGGAAAGTCTGGTTTCCGATAAAAATCCAACAGAATACCCGTCTGTTCTTTCCCCATGATGACCATGGATGGATGGATGGATGGATGGATGGATGAAAATAGTAATGCTAAGAACATCAGTGTTGTTGACAAACGCAAGAGCAAGTCAACAGGAAGACATATTCTGTTTTAAAGCTTTTTCGAAAGGTCAGTCTATCATAAATGTATAAAATCTGTGAATTATTGGCCGTCCAATACAACGTTGAGAACGTACTATATGAAACTATAGCTAGATGCCCTGTTTAGTGGTAACAGACATCGGTTGAAGATGTTTCTTTCTGAATGGGGAAGCTTTATAGACATAAAGACTTCCAAAGAAATCACACAAACCAATCACACTAACTGCGAAGATTAGACATAAGTTGTAATAGTAGTAGTTGGTGTAGATGTTATGGTGACGTTGTCCACAGAAGATCCTGGCCCACAAAGATGAATACAGATTTAGTATGATTAATCTCTTCTCGAGATTGGTTTTCTGGAGGTTAATGTCCATCCAGATGGTGTTCCCGGGAATGACTGCCTCAGCAAAACACGATATGAATACTCATGGACGATAATATAATAATACTGCAACGTCCTAGAAAGGCCAGTCTAGGTTATCACAAAACAGATCACTAGGCTATAAGGCAAAATAGCGATGAAAATTATATCAACGGATTCCTGAATAGTGACAACGGGTGTTTGGGAAAAGGATAAGCATGGCATACATATACTTCCCATCAAAAGTTTAAACTCACTTAAAACACCCACTATATGTTATGTATATATATGGTTACATCGAAGATTGATTTCTCCACTAACTTTGGGGAACCAACTGCAACCCTTATGCAGATGAATTGCACGAGGATCATGCATCAAATGGCTGAAAAGCATGTGCATGTATCATGCATGTGAACAGCTGCGTTTTGGTGTAAAATTTTGTTGAGGATTTGCCAATTTTCACTGGGTTTTATCATTTCTTGAACTCATGACAATAATCTTTTCAACGTTTCGAATTTGTTTTACAGTACATCAGTTCATGTGTAAACAGTACCTATAAACAGTATGGAATATTTTGCCAAATTTAGTTCAGAACAGTTGCTTGATGTAAGTGGCTGCATTTACACTAGTGAGTCTAAACTTTTGACGGGAAGTATACAAAAGGATATTACCCTATTCGCTTGTTTTTTAGTTCAATAGTTCAGTTCAATACAATGTAATTCATCGTGTAATTCTCTGGACATTTGTGTTAAGTGGGATGTTGGTTTGGAACCACCGATAATCACCTGAATCAGTCTTTGTTTCTTGACTAAACCTGTCAACCATATGCACTTTATATTTACATGCATATTCACACATGTCACGTAATGATTCCAAGATTTGTATATAAACACAGAATTTGAAAATGAACACGGCATGTTATTCACCTGCAACACAAAGGTTACTATTTGTAAAGAAATTGGAGTCATCCACACAAGTACATTTTTCGACAACATAGAGTGTGTGTGAATGAGTTAGTGAGTTTAGTCTAACGCCGTTTTAAGCAATATTCAAGGAATATCACGACGGGGTGACACCAGAAAAGGGCTTCATACATTGCACCTATGTTGGGAATCGAATCCAGGCCCTCGTCGGAATGTATTCCAGTCAAAGAAAAAACAAGAAACTACATATGCATTGCCTCCATATAGCTAGAATACTCAGTGCAGAGATAAACAACAAACATATACATTGAAAACGAGCCCACGTGAGATGAGAGATTATGATCTGATCCATAGAACCTGATCCATAATCTAGACTACCTATGATATGACGTTACAGCAACTGCTGAGCGAAGGGAAGATAATATAGTTGAGGGATTGTGACATATGGCATATGGTTTCAAAATCACTTAAGACGGGTTAATTACTGGATACCTCGGCCATCTGTAAGCATCTTCTCATTGCCAGCGCTCTAACAGAGTAAAAGTGAGCTTTACAAACGTCAGCAGTTTCTACTTAGTCAGCAGGTAAAGGTTAAAGAGAATTCCAAAGCTTTAGTGTGTTGGCTGTTTACAAAACGAACTGGACACTGGCCCAAAGTAGGGATGAACATGACGAGTTACATCTCCTGTGGAAGGACATCTTTACCATAACGAGACGACGGGGATGATGGCTAAAATACTGGGATAACTTGCATGAGTGGAATTTGTACTTTAATCATATTCAGTAACGACCATGGTGGCTGTAGATCTAACGATATGACAGAGCAAGAGCGTTGCAAACAGTTGAATGGATTCCAGGAGAATTGGTATGAAGTTCAACGAAATCAAATGTGTTATGTTAAGCAGCCATATTTGACAATTTCGACATTAAATGACTACAACTAAAGTTCAGTGAGTTCTTTGAACAGCATATGTTCGTTTGGTTAGTAGTTGAACGGTTCCTGTAATGTACAAATGGTGCTTTGGACTTGAATCATGGTTAGGACGGGATTGATCCGTGTTTTATATTGTCTTAGAAGTTAAATTAATTGAATGGGTTCCGATAGGATACAAAGTCCATTTTTACCGTATACTCCTTTTCATGAACGGCTAATGCTACGACAGCCTGCGCAACAGAGGTCACAACTCTTCAAGGTCATGACTTTTGCTGCTTCTTCTCTCTGAAATCTCACGCCGCGGCTGACAAATCCATCTGCCACCGGAGAAGCTGACTTTAAGCCCCCAGCCCCGGAGAGAAAGATGATGTGCTGCAGTGCCATTCCTGGATTAACGTCTACAATGACTTTTCACAAAATACTTTTTAAGTCATTGAAATGTCACTAGCGACCAGCATATCGACGATACAGGATGATTAACTGGCTTTGATAATGTTTGTCTCGGATAATGTTCACATGGTATCGCTTTTGTTGCTGATGAATGTGTTGATGGTGGAGTTCTGGCGTCACGAAAAGATATAGATAATAGCATTATGCAAATTCTACATGCAGTTAAGATACAGTATCATGGCAAATATTTGCTTGTTGAAATTCGAAAAATCGTTGATAATGCAATAATACCGCTTTGTGAAATACCATTAAGACATGCTTTTTGAGACTGAAATATAAGCGGGGTAAAAATATGAATAAATGTCTCATTTTTACGAATTCCATTTCGTAGATATAGCATCAGTTATTGTCCGGAATATTGACGGATGGCTTATCAAATATTTACAGCAAGAGTTTCAGATAACGTTTTGATAAATGTTCAAACAGTGAATGACATGTCCACCTGGTGTGAGATAGAAACCCAAAATGATACAATCATATACGACTTTGGTGAAACCAATAACCACAAACCGTCAAAATCAGGGTGAATCTAGAATCTGAAACCAACACAACACAGCTGAATCTCAAGCCATAGCATTCCAGCATACAGAGTTTTATTTGCCTGTTTGTCGTTTAACGCTGCAATATTCCAGCTATATGACGGCGGTCTGTAAATAATTGAATCTGGAACAGGCAATCCAGTGATCAACGTCATGAGCATTGATCTATGAAATTGAGACACGATGACATGTGTCAAGCAAATCAGCGAGCCTGACAGTCGATCCTGTTATACGCCTCTTACGACAAGCATGGGTTGCTGAAGTACATTTCTAACCCGGATATTCACGGGTTCGGGTTCCATTCGTCATGCGAGTGCAGGGCCCTTTACTAGGTACAGTCGTACTATATATTGGATATAGTCGTACTAGTGCTCGAGTAATTCTTAAATCATCGCGGATCTGCACGGGTATCAAGGGAGTTTCAAATTCAAGTTTAATTCTGTATGAGCGAACCCGTGAAGATCCGGGTTAGAATTGATCTTCAGTAACCCATGCTAGTAAGAGGCGACTAACGGGATCGGGTGGTCAGGCTCGCTGACTTGGTTGACACACTTCATCGTATCCCAATTGCGTAGATCGATGCTCATGCTGTTGATCACTGAATTGTCTGGTCCAGACTCAATCATTTACAGACCGCCGCCACATAACTGGAATATTGCTGAGTGCGGCGTAAAACTAAACTCACTCGCTGTGTGAGCGACGATCACTGATAAGAGTGGAAACCCTTTTGAAAGATGCTCTTATGCCACTCAATTAATGGTTGATACCATACTTTACCTAAAAAATGACATGATACTATTCTTAAAAAATAGGACATGCAATGCCAATAGTATTCCATGACCACTTCTGTCTAGTTTGGAGCACTTAACATCAAAGGTGAAAGTCACTTTTGACGACTCTTTGCAATCACGCTGAGCACTATCATATCCCTGCGGGCTTCTCAAAGTCACTTGTCGCGAGAAGTTCCGTCAGAATCCCAACAAACAAGTACTCGAGTGACAATATTGTGTCGCATCTCCTTCTGACCTCTATTTATAGCGGATGTTCCTGGAGCTTTACTCAAACTGTCACCCGCAAGCTCCTTCTACAGTCCAGAGCGAAACCTCCGGTATATCGATTGGCATATAGTACATCCGCGGCCGTTTTGATGAGTTGCATTATGTCTTTATACAGTAATGTACTTTACACAAATGATAAGCGGCGCCGTCAAAAGACAGATAATGTGTTTGTTTGTTTTTCTATTTACGAGATACACAAGTACTTTTACATATAGGATAACCGACGTCGTCAATAGACAGATCATTTGCTTCGTGTTTCTATTCACGTGATTCACCAACCGTGTTTGAATTAAGGGTGTGCCAATTGATACCTCCATATTTGATTTGAAACCGCAATTGACTTCAACTGTCTTTAAATAAATTATATCTGCATACCTTTCAGGAATACCTGACACCTGTTGGTGACTTGTTTGTCGAACTATGGAAAAAAGTTCATCGATTTGCTTGTTTAATGCAAAGAAAAGGTGATCACCATTTTCTGTTTGCCAATTGACATTTTTGTACAGACATAGGATACTTCTGCGAATCATCAACAACCATTTGTACAGCGAGTGATTTTGATCGTTATGGAGAGACACGCAATATCAACACTTGTTTCATACAGCGAGAGAGTGAGACTCATTCATAACTAGCACAAGATATGTTTCTACGATCACTATACACATATTGCATCAAAAGAATGCTTACACTAAATTCTATAACAACCTATGTCAGCGAAAAGCATGGGATGCTGAAGATTCTGCAACAATTTATGTTTTTCAAAACTAAACGTCCCTTCGCTTGAGGACGATATTGCCTCTTTTGTTGTCAATATGTAATATAACAGAAATAACAGATTAAGAAGGGAACGATACGCTGGATGCTGCGCATTATTCAGTGCGTGACATGCATCCATGCCGACATATTAAAGGATAATTACGTTGCGAATACTGAATACTCTGATTCCCTTCGTGATTGTATCATAGTACCGTCCCTTCACCAAAACTGATGTTCAAAAGAGTCAATCCCCGATAAACCGAACGGTAATTCTTAAAAACTTGCACGCGGAAATGTAACGCGTAACGCAGACGGAATCAATCAATCAATCAATTAGTGAATCATTCCAATCAATGTTAAAAATATTTATTGTCTATATGACTGACCAATCCCATACTTTAGTCATCACAGGCACAGATGTGACAGCCGGAGTTATCCTTCTTGAATCCGGACAGGCCACAGTCCAGGGTGCACGCTTCAAGGATAGGGCACGGCGTTACTGAAACAAACAGCAGCAGAGGACATCAATAAAACTACCTACAGACGTAACAATCACAAAGGGACATGTGGTCAGTGAAACATACGGGATATGACGTCACTGAAACATACAGGGCATGACGTCACTGAAACATAAGGGATATTGCGTCACTGAAACATACATGTCATGACGTAACTGAAACATACGGGATATGACGTCACTGAAACATACGGGGTATGACGTCACTGAAACATACAGGATAGACGGCACTGAAACATACGGGTCATGACGTCTCTGAAACATTCAGGATATGACGTCACTGAAACCTACAGGGCATGACAACACTGAAACGAAAATGAGGGGAAATACAACAGCTACGACTCTGAAACAATCAACGAGGCTGAGAGGCCAAATCTAGATCCAGGTAAATATCCAGTTCATAGAAAGTTTGTGTCAATTCAAAGTTTGGCTGAAACATTTGGCCGCGTGAATATTTGTATGTCATTTTACCTCGTATGATATTTCACTTTCTATTCAAATTTGTTCATCATTGATATTATCAGTAATACCTGTGCTGTTGGCATTTTTGCTTGTCTGTTTGTTTGTTTGCTTGTTGTTTAAAACCCCCTGGCTGCCGAGTTTTTTTTCAGGCGCACATTTTCATACGCTTTGAAAAGTGAACGTTGTGCGAGAATTGCTCTCGCGTGGTCCTGGATCTACGTAAGGCTATAACATTACACAGAAATGTAGAATATTAAATTTCCTATCCGTTGGTATAAATATAAGTGCAACTACCTTGGCGGTTTGAGAAATAGACCTTGCTAAATGTTGTCCAAATTTTTGTTATGCGTTAAAAAACAGTAAATTTCTCCGCTTTTTATCGCGCACCGATAAAAGCACTGTGCTAGGAATTGTTTAATGGGGCATCTTTACGGAAAGTGTGAGCGAAGAAAATACAGCCTGATATCTGAACGACATAAGTGTATATGAATTGGGTTTATGTGCTTGTGCATAACGTTATACGCTCAACATTAAAAATGACTCGCAATAAATGTCAAAAATGTATTTTCTTCTATGACGCAAACGACGACAGAGAGGTCATAAACGTATAATGATAAGGGGGCATAACTTCGTTATGCGTAACACTAGGTCAATGTAACTCAGATCACTTGGAGAAAATGTGTTGTGGATACGGACGCTATATTTTCGTTATTTTATATTCATGGTGAACCTCACTATTCCAATTCAAAGTTCCCCAATGTGAACGGATGCGCTTTGGTAGTTTCACAATTTATAAGAAAAGATGACAACGTATTACATGTGAAAGCACGTAATAGCGATTTGAAAGGCCCTATCCGATATATAAGTTAGTTCTTAGATTCCCATATTCTCCTGTTTGTGTAGATGTAATTTGACTAATTTTGCATCGTTATTACCAGAGTACTAGCCATATCTTCAAATGTAACGAAATTGCTGAAAATAATACAACATTTTAGTTGACGTCATCACTTGTTTTATGCATTTTGCGACGTTGGAAAACGACGACATTGGTATGCTGATTAGCATATATCTCACTTAATTTCCATTCATTGTATAAAAGGTCTAGACTTCTATGTCAGAATTTAACACTCTTTAGACAAAACATAAAATGACTGATTTTTCCATTTAAATAGTGTCCTGAATATATCAACAATTAGACAGTTTGACAGCGTATCTTATTGTGACCAACACGCGCACCTGTTTGGCATCAATTTAACGTAAATAGAAATAATATTTCACAACACCCGAATATTTTGTTTGGGATAAAATTTTTGTTTGTTTATGATTATGAAGCTATTTCTCTTCATACGTATGCAATGAAAGATGCATAAAGATAGCTTTTTATATATGGAACTATATATTAGAATATGGATATAAGATTTGTCCGAATTAACACATGAGATGGTATATATATTTTTCAACAATTTTCCTATAAGTAGTTAGAGTTTGATATCCTGTCATCACAATATTATTTAATCGAATATGAATTGAATATATTATCGAAAACAATGATAGAGAATCATAAAACGTTTCCAACAAACGCGCACCTGGCCGATCTATATGCATCATTCTTTTGTCTATAAAACGACACAAAATTATGCAATGAACACGACAATCCCTTTAAATATGTGTGCATGTACATTTCATACCATATATAAATCATTGTCATGAATATTATCAGTTTTGCATATAAGGTTGAATTATATCACCGTTCATTAACCTGTTCATATGAAATTGCAATATTAGTCCAAATAAATTGAATATTGTACGTCATAGGAACTAAAGTAATTGCAGTAATGGCTACGTTTGATCTTCTAACACTTGTGTAAAGGTTTAAAATATGGTGTATTGCAATAAATATGTCAATTTCTTATGTAAATATGATTCAAACAATCAAAAACTTTCAAAGAATAAAACACCGTAAACCCTATATGCATGTATGATATGATATTGAACAAGGCTAAATGTAGATACTGAAGTCAGTTTCCTGAAAAAAGTATCCGAACTATCCGCAAAATATACATCATAATACTGACAGTATAATCGGAAGGATATGGCGATTGTGTTTACTCTTGTTCAACCGACCTTCACCTCAAAGAAATTGCCTAATATGTACAACAATGTTGACGTATGACATCACTACCGCTGACCGATTTCTTACAAAATGGCGGCTTTGCTGACAAGGGTACACAGGATTTTGCGAGGACCCTTCCACTGATTCAGGGATCGTTTGTACATAAATATGAGATGTAAGTAATCAGAAGGATTCTGACTATCTGTGTATTGTTATATGTTTTTTATCGTTTTCACTATACGTAAGAGAAAAGGACAGAAATGCAGATAATTACCGTTGTCGTTCTGCGTGATTTGGCGTCAGTCATGGCGTCACGCTGCACGGAAACTTTGACAATTTCTTATGAATTATCAAATCATTGCATTGTATCTATTTATAATTTCCTATTTCTTGCTACGATACTCTTTCCATGTATATTCTAAAGGTATTGAGCCATTGCAAGCAATGAATAGACGGATGAATGTTGAAAAATTTCAGAAAATGCTGCGCAGTGTAAAATCGGAATTTGTCTTTGTTTACATTTCACACAAACGCAGTCTTTCAAGCACAGCGTTCGTTTTCACACCCAATATGTTTCGTCTCATTTTATCTAGACAGTTATTATTGGTGACACAGACCAGTTTCAAATTGATTCTAAAATGTATGGGGAATTCAGTGATGCATTTTTCGAAGCTGAATATGAAATATACGTGATGTAATAGGCGTCTCAATACCGGCCTTCGCGAAACGTGATTTTGTAAACACTATCCCAATATGGCGGAAAGCGCTCTACGGTGTTCGTGTAAGTGCATTTTCGAAAACATCCCAACCGATTCTAGATTCATCGGCAACGTTTCAGAATTATAATTAGCGAAATCATGTAAAACTGATATCAGTGATCATAAATATGTTATTTTTGAAATTCAATACTCACAGTAATTATCCGATTTTCACATTTCAAAACATACAGCAAATAACGCTGTGAATCGCGATTTCATACTGTGTCAAAAATGTCGCCATTTTCGATGAAGCCTATTTTGTAAGGTCATTTTCAGCACTTGAGCTTTGTTTAAAATAATAGTGGATGGTATCAAGAAACAGGGAATTTCCCGCAGAATTCGAAACTGTGAAGTGTATTTGTGTGCGTGGGATATTTTGATTTTTATTCGACTTCAAATTGAGGGTTGAAGGGGAAGGACATATATGTCCCTGTGGCATCCAGGGGGGTTAAGGACGCACTCAACATTACTGCATCTGGCAAGCTACTCTCGAAACGTTCGTAGCAATACGAACTTTTGAAGCCCATTCTTAACACATTGGCTACGATCAAAGTTAAGATTTCTTAAGGCTACGAACGTTTCGAGAATAAGGGCCCTGGACCTAGATTTTCGAAGCTCTTTAGCGCTAAGATAGTCGTAAGTTAATTTATGGCACTTACGACTATCTTAGCGCTAAGAGATCTTCGAAAATCTAGGCCCTGGTGGGCACGAAAACAGGTTGATCAATTTGTTTGTTTAATGCAGAGAAAATGTGATTCATCAACACTACTTTACACTAAATGACCTTTCATTACTTTATTGAGCAGCTTACATTGGCGCTATACAAATATTAGAATGTATGTATTACACAGACAGGATACTTTGTTGTTTTATGCTGCACTCCGCAATATTCCACCTATATGGCGGCGGTCTGTAATCGAGTCTTGATCACACAATCCAGTGGTCAACACCATTAGCCTCTATCTACGCACCTGGGATACGATGAAGTAAGCGAGTCTGACCACCCGATCCCGTTAGTCGCCTCTTACGACAAGCATGGTTTCCTGAAGACCAATTCTAACTAGAGTTGGGTATTGCCAATATTTTCGTATTGCGATATATTGTGGCCACTGGCCACTGTTATGATTGTACAAGAGATCAATTAAAAATGTTTCCAAATTAAAAACTTCGCTCTAAAGTTTGGAACTCGAGAAAAAGCGTCCGCCATTTTGGTTTGCTTATCCTTCCAACGAGTGCCGGTACCAATCTATTTCTTCTTATTTATACGGTTTAAAAGTCACGCAAATGTGCAAATAGCTATTAATTATATGACCAATAAACATTCTGAAAACTATCAATGTATAATAATGTAAAGGAAATACAATTGTTATTAGTACTTTTGACTACATCACGAAATGTCCGATCGTATCGGGTGAACCGGTTCGCGAAAAGTGTACCGCAATATTATATCGTATCGTGAAGTTCGAATTGCAATATACCGGTTAACCGTTATTATCTCCCAGCCCTAATTGTAACCCGGATCTTCACGGGTCTCTGTTGGATTGTATTTATCACTGTTTGAATGTAACATCTATTTATCTGTCTCCACAATTCAGCAGGATGCAGCGCAGTAATTACAGTTTGGCAGTATGAGAGAGGACACCTGAGACAGATGCTCCTTGTGAAACTAATGGACCAGATGTTGACAGCACACTTGATAAGTGAGTCGGGTTAGTTTCACGACGCTTTTAGCAGTATTCCAGCCATATCACAGCAATATAACTTAAAGGGACACCAGTAATGGACTTCACACACACGCTTTTAACCTCAGGGGCGGTGGGGTAGCCTAGTGGTTCAAGCGTTTGTTCGTCACGCCGAAGACCCGGGTTCAATTCCCCACATGGGTACAATGTGCGAAGCCCATTTCTGGTGTCTCCCGCCGTGATATTGCTAGAATATTGCTAACTTACTTTAACACCAGTAACCCCTCCACCCCGATTGATGGATGTATAATCCAGGGAGTGAGTGATTGAGTTAACATATAGTCACATCGGCCATATCGTGACTATGGCACCAACAGATCAATAAAAAACAATATTTTATGATACGAAAATCTGTCAACAAAGGACTGTAAAATAACCAGAATACCATAGCTTTAGATTCAAAACCAGCAAGTAACCAGAACATGATATTTTCTAAACGTCACAATATAAAAACAGGCTATGTGTCGCCAAGAGTGAGTGAGTGAGTATGGTTTTACGCCGCTTTTAGCAATATTCCAGCAATATCACGGCGGGGGACACCAGAAATGGGCTTCACACATTGTGCCCATGTGGGGATTCGAACCCGGGTATTCGGCGTGACGAGCGGACGCTTTAACCACTAGGCTACCCCATCGCCCCATATCCCCAAGAACTGAAGGTAGATCACCATACTCAAGACCATGGAGACTTTGCATTTTATTACCTGCATGGCCCCAAGCTGGATTTACACAGTCCCCTCAGCTGTTGGCGATTATGGACGAAGCTGGCCATGAATGAAACTTTGATATATTCTACGATTAAAAACCTGGTAGCCTTGACTTAAGTTTGAAGGCCGTGGTCTTACACGCCCTGTCACGAGGACAATACGTTTATGGTACTTCACCACTCCTGAAAATACAGCCACTAACAACCTTAGTTGTTTACTTAAAATACCAATGTTAAAACAAAAGGCATCTATCTTCAAAACATATCAATAATCAAGACCTTTAAAACAGTCAATAATTAAATAGTTAATGGGCATAAATACCCCCCACTACCACCTTTACATATTACATTTGCCCAATAACATCACACTGAAAGTTGCAAGGTAGCACTTTTTCACTGTCCCACTGGTAACACTTTACATCTTTGGGAATATTACAGTTATTTTTTCTAAGGGTTCAAACCATACTGTTTCATGTGTTGATGATATAAAACAAATACTGCAAACAAATTAACAACTCTGTTATCACAAATAAACAATCACATGGGTCACATGTTTTATTAACTTTAATAGTAAGTGGCAATGAGTTGCCAGATGACTTTAACATTCAGTGTCCAGTCCCAGGCACTGTCGGTGGATGTCACAGAATGCTGCAGAGAGTATTTCCTCAGAAAGTGACCTTTTCCTCTTCATACAGGCGTGTGACGATTTGATCTCGGCCAATATCTTCTGAAAACATTCAAACAACTTTGTGTAATATTAATGATATTTAGATTGGGGTTTACTATTATATCACTAAATATTTATGATTATGTTAGGTGACACTGACAAATCTACATTACATACCTATTACTACTACATTTTTATCATAAGTTTTGTTCAACAATTCTATCCCTTGAGCGTTCACCTGAAAGAATATTTGCATTATTTAATTAACAATAATTGATGAGGAAATAAAGATATTTTATGTGATTTTCAAATAAAGAATTGTTTAATAATCTTAATAAATACTCATTCTCAGTAAGAGTGACCATTGTATCAACCAGGCTGTTAATAAAGGTATATGATTTTTTTAAGATAATTATAACATCTCAAACATGATATTCAGTTAGTTCATATGTGCCAAAGGCATGTACCATAACACATTAATAAATGTTCCTAGGAATCTGGACTTGTTCATCATGCCAGTGTAATTGCAAAGAAGGTTAGCATTTTGATCATGGTTATTATGAATCCAGGACAAAACCCCTGCGGACAAATTCTTTCTTTCTCTCTTCATTTTTGTATTATTAGTTAATTTACTTGAAAAAAGACTGAATTCAGCATGTCAAACTAACATTCTAAACCAGTATCGTGGTCTGTTATTTGTCTGTGGACCGCCTCCGTGGTGTAGTGGTTAGAGAGTCTCTCCGGAGAGCGGAAGTTCGCGGGTTCGGTTCCCGACTAGGTCATACCAAAAGACGTTAACACATGATACTTGTTGGTCCCTGCCTGGCACTCGGCATTAACGGGTATAACAAGGTGAGGTGAGGTGAGGTGAAATTGGGTTTAACGTCGTACTTGAGAATATTTCGCTCATATGACGACGTGCATGCGTGTGTATGTGTATGTGCGGCTGCTTGTACTAGCCCAGACTGAAGCTGGTTTTATAGTGCTAGCCAACTGAGATACCATGCCGCAGTGAAGCATGAATACCCCACTCAGACACATTATACTGACTCCGAGCCGACCAGTCCTTGTTGTACCCATTAATGCCGAGCACCAGGCAGGGACCAACAAGTACCATATTTTAACGTCTTTTGGTATGACGCGGTCGGGGATCGAACCCGCGACCTTCCGCTCTCCGGGCGGAGGGTATAACAAGGACTGGTCGGCTTGGAGTCAATGTAATGTGTCTGAGTGGGGTATTCATGATTAACTGAGGCATAGTGAGCTCATAGGGGCGTGTCTCGCCTAGAAACAGCGTTAGAAAGACGTATAGGTATATAGACCCTTCCCTACACACACGCGCATGCACGTCGTCACATGAGCGAAATATTCTCAAGTACGACGTTAAACCCAATTTCACCTCACCTCACCTCTTTTTGCATGTGTCAGAAGCGCCCATAATATATGTTTTTCTGTGTCGTCTGCCTTCGACGTGCAATGCCACTTACCTTCACAATCAGTGTCGTGATATCTTCTTTAAGTAATCCATGCAAATTCCAACCACACAAAAAATAAATGCCGTGGACGAATCGCAAACAGATGATACTTTGCAAAATGCTGAACAGATTCGTGACATCTGTGGAAGAAACCCGGACAGGTCACAGAGACCCTTGAATGAAATCAGACTCGCAAATGAAATCGCGCACGTGCTTGTTGATGTAGCACGGGCAGCATGTGAGGTCCGAGAAGCTGGTATAAAATATCAAAAAGATGAACCTTGGTTCGTTATGGAACGAAATAGATTTAATAAAACGAAAAGAAAAAAACAATAAAGACAGAATTCAATAAACTGGCATATCTCCAAGACCAAAGTTAAGCAAGAAATGTAAGGCTACGAATATGATACTTCGTCAAAATCTTTACCACTCGTCTAAAATGTTTTGAACTTCCTAAGAACACGTGAGAATGAAAACAATGTGATAAATCCTAACATCAAAGCGTTCTTTATTAATTAATAAGAGCCCAACTATAAGCAGCTACATTAGAATAAGAATTTACAATGCGAAGCTCCTTTACACGATTGTAAAATTATACACGATAACGTAATGGCGGACAAAATGATATAAGTGGAACATAAACTTAAAAGAAATAAAGTATCAAGATAGGATTTTGTCGAAACTGATGCGTAATAAATATTATTGGAGTATCTGTCCAATTATAGTCGGAAATTCAATTCAATCTTCTGTAATCCCTCAAACGTGGCTAACAGGAATCCAGGCGATCCAAACTCGAACAGAGCCAATACAACACTAAGCTGTTTGGAAAACATTTTATCATAGCCCTAAATGATCGATTACTGAAATCCTCAGATATTGATAATATCCTCACTGCATTACAGTTGGGATTAGGGAACAAATACAAACTGCCGATAACATATTGGTTATCCACATATTTTGAAATTATTAAACAACAGACTTATGCGTGTACATATTTTACAAAAGCATTTGATTCTGAATGGACAGCAGGATCGTGGTCGAAAAATGCGAAAGATTGGAATTGAATCTTGAAAGAAATATTAAATCAATGGCACAATGGAATAACGCACACATTTGCAGCAGTACTCTTTTTAATTTTCTCAAATGATTTTGAATAGTATTTGGTAAAACAAGGATGTAAGGGGATTTAATTGGGTTTGGAAAATAACGTCACGATTGCTTTACAATTTATGGTACCACTTAATGCAAATGATACAGTCCTTCTTGTGAGTGTTCCATTACACAAGCAGATTAAATAGTCAGAATCTGAAGTTGGCATTTTGCTATCTTCCTTTTTCATTCATTTATAAGGGATTAGCAGTTCATAAGGTTGAACTGTACACTACTTAGACTGGTGATTTGCCTGTTATTTTGTGGTATGCGTGTATATGTATATGTTTTACGCCGCACTCAGCAATATTCCAGCTATATGGCGGCGGTCTGTAAATAATCGAGTCTGGACCAGACAATCCAGTGATCAACAGCATGAACATCGATCTACGCAATTGGGATACGATGACATGTGTCAACCAAGTCAGTGAGCCTGGCCACGCGATCCCGTCCGTCCCGTACTTTGTTGTTTTACGCCGCACTCAGCAATATTCCACCTATATGGCGGCGGTCTGTAATCGAGTCTTGATCACACAATCCAGTGATGTACAGTGCGGTACTGTACATACGGTATAATGCCTGGCAGCTGGTTGCCAACAGATTACCGCACCTAACTGGTAAGCCTGTATGTACAGTGCGGTACTGTACTTATGGTATAATGCCTGGCAGCTGGTTACCAACAGATTACCGCACCTACCTGGTAAGCCTGTATGTACAATGCAGTACTGTACTTACGGTACAACCGTTATTTAATACGGTAATCTGCTTGCAACCAGCTGCCAGGCATTATACCATAACAAAATCACGGTAATTGTTTACAGTGAACCAAGTCAGCGGGCCTGACCACCCGATACTGTTAGTCGTCTGTAACGACAAGGATGGGTTACTGAAGATCAATTCTAACCCGGATCTTCACGGGTCTGCACATGTGAATTCATTATTATGTTAAAGTGACTAAACCACTTTAGTATGCTGTCATCTTGATATGTTTTGTAGGCATAGTGCTTGTTGTATATGTATGCTGTTGTGTCAGAGTTGACTGTTTTCGGACAATAAACTGAACTGACAACCTAACAGCTTTAGTCGCTAAAATAGAAACATGGGCCGCTGAAGATTGGGCAGCTGAATGCCCTGTACGGTGTCCGGTACGCAGGTATCCTACCTGAAGTTGCAGTTGCAGTCGGCGATGTGGTAGTTGTCGTGGTTGTAGTTGTTGTGGTTGTGGCTGTAGTAGTTGTAGTCGCTGGAGAAGTAGTTGCAGCGCTGGTAGACTTAGAAGACGTGATGTTACCTAAAACAGATGACATCAAAATAAATTAGTCCTTTTGTAAATGCAACACAATCGAATTACAAGTTTCGGTAACCGTTTTTCTTGGCAATGCAGCAATCGCTTTGGTGTCAGGACGTGTATTCTGTATTCATGTTAAACTGCGGGACGGGAGCACTGACATTAGTCCTGACCAGTTTAAGAAAGGTTAAGTTTAACTCCCAGCTTATCAGTACCAACTAAACCACAAACTGTATACCAGTTCCTAAAAGTGAATAATAATCTGAAAACATACACACTTACCACCACCTTGTTTGTTTATCTGGATAAGATTCATCAAAAAGGAATTCAGACATATATATTTCAGGCAGACATAATTTCTGTTACAAAGATCGGGGGACATCCTTTTAAATAGCGATCGCTGTGCAATCCATACATGCCACAACCGTGAACATTACTATCAAAGTATTCATTCCGCTTGCTTTATACATTCTTGATTGCTTTAAAAAGATTTCATGATCAGTATCTCAACTTAAACATCGCAAAATGCGGAAATAAAACCTCTTACCAAAATAACTATTTGTAAATTACACGTAAGCCAGAGTACTTACTGAACTGGCACAAGATTTCATACCATTTCTAAGGCATTTACAGGCGCTGTGCCGGTACAATGTGGAGTAACGGTTCTTTCAGATACAAGATGGAGAAGCGGTTTACAGGACGCTTACTGTGCTGATTAAGGTTGTGCAATCAGCTACACAGGAAACTTACTGAACTGACACAGGTAGGGTAAACAGTTACTCGGAACAGATTCTGCTGCACTGGGTAAGGTTGTGAGATCAGAACAGAACAGAACAGAACAGAATTTTATTTCAGTAACAGGCCTCCGGCCCAAAATACATGTACATAAATTGATGATAAGTAGAGCACATATATATTTCATTTAGGTTGTGAGATCAGCTCCATAGGAACCTTACTGTACTGACACAGGTATGGAAAACGGTTCCTCAGACGCCTACTGTACTGGTTAAGGTTGTGGACTCAGCTATACAGGAAACTTACTGAACTGGCAGAGGTAGGGGAAACGGTTCCTCAGATGCCTACTGTACTGGGTAAGGTTGTGGACTCAGCTATACAGGAAACTTACTGAACTGGCAGAGGTAGGGGAAACGGTTGGTGCCAAATAAGAATCCTCCGTTGCAGCTGTAGTCTTTCCAGAATCCGGTGCCTGTCTCCATGACGACACAGTCCTCGTTTGTACCCAGCGGCGACCCCGGTTCTCCTCTTGCCCAGTGATGGTAGGAGTACGCCTCTCCTGCAATTATCTGTATTTACACATGGATATATTGATATATAACTTGGGGTGATAATGGGTTTTTTGGGGGTTTTTTTGAGCAAACTGTATTAGAGAGTCTTTGATTGATTGATTGCTTGTTGTCCAGTCGCAGCACTGAGCAATATTCCAGCTTTATAGCGGCGATCTGTAAATAATCGAGTCTGGACCAGACAATCCAGTGATCAACAGCATGAGCAAGAGCATGAGCAATTGGGATACGATGGCTTGTGTCAACCAAGTCAGTGAGCCTCTTACAACGAGCCCGGGTCTGCACGGGTATATGTACCTAGCCTCAGACGCTTATTGTGATATGATTAATTGTCTCAGAGACTAAACCTCCCTCCATTACCCATCATTGATCCCATTCTCTCAGTCATTCACTCTCCATATTCTCGCTTCCCTTGTTGGCAACTATCACATAATCATATATACAATGGAAACATCACACAGCCATGCATATATCCTCTCAGTGAATAACTCAGGGACATATTTTGAATTCATAATGCTCACAATTTCTTGACGTAAAGTACCTTCATTGGGTACAGTCGTACTATATATTGGGTACAGTCGTACTAGAGCTGGATCAATGCTTAAATCATCTCCCACTTATTCTCTCTCTTTTAGGGATCAATGGAAGAGATTGAATCCGGTTGTATTGCCCTGAAGACATATTTGAGTACCTAATCACGACTATACATAACAACTATATGTCCCGGCACATCAGGAGACGGGCCGACAAGGAAAGGTTAGCCCACAAGTGTCTGTCAATTACCATATGTCTGACAACGAGTTCTGTCTGAAGGTCAGAGCACGTTACACAACATCTGACAGACCTTAAACGTACAAGATCTCTGACAAGTAAGAGAGCAAGTGACTGACAGACCCTAAAATCATTTTAGCACCGAATGGGTGCACATCTTGTCTTTTCTCATGAGTGATAGAAGACAACGGTCATGTGTCATGTCATCTGGCTTACTTCTGCAATAGTGCACAATATGTTCTGATATTCCTTACAAGAAATATAAAATCTCATACATTATTTCTAAACATATTTATCATCAAAAACTGTGTTCCAGTGGATATATTGCTTGTGTGAGATCAAATGATATCTCCTCGGAGATAATCGTTTTGACAGTAGATTTTCTACAATGCTCTGACAATGGTATGGCGTCATCAACTTGATGACGTCACAATGCTATGACATCACTGCACTGCAAGTCTAATGGCAGTACACAGATGTACAGTTTTCACTGTAAACTAATGAAGAGTGATTTTTGATGATAAATAGAATATCACCCTCGTGTCTTCTGACATCAAATACATCAACACTTGTTGATTACAGTAAACATATCCTCGCATGCCTCGAATATTTCTAACTTTATCAATTCGTGTTGATATAATTGATATGAGTAGACACCTGGGTGAGATCCTCTATATGTCAATATTTTATGCAATATCGAGTGCAACATTTTCGGACTATTTCTATTTCACTCATTTAAATTGTTACACAGCTTTGCCTAAGTTAACAGTCAGTATAACTATTGAAAAAATAAGGGAAACATATCTGAGATGAGTCTTTATTAATTTCTCAGAACATTTTCCAGTACTTTTGGGGTTGGGTCCTAGCCCGGGTTCGAACCCACACTCTCAGACTCAGGCACGTAATCCCCAGCACATAAAGTTAACCAACTAACCTACACAGCCACCAATTAATACAAAAGCCAAGTCCGTCATGCATCTAGAGCGGTAACACTGTGACATAAACAAACGCCCGCCTCAGTTAACATAGCCGAGAGCTAAATCATCTTATGCATTTTTGTTAAAATAGATTTAAGACTCCTCCCAACCTAAATTTTATTGAAGAAGCTACGTGAGCATGGTCAAACCCAGGAACAACACATGACCATTACATGTCAATTCGATGTCAGCTGAAAGTACTAAAAACGTAAGACCAATCAGAGCCAACTGTGTGTTCTACTTTATGAACATTTTGGGTTATATAAAAGAAGGGCGGGGTTGTCCTAATCGCACTGTTCCTGTAACTTTGGAACGGACAAGCTGCTCTGCACCATCTGTATGTACAGCATTCGCACGTCTTCTTTAAGGTAAGCCCTATTCATGTGTTGCTATTTTTCAAACATTTGAGGAAAACAGGATTCGTTATGCAACAGTGCTTGACAACAGTATAAGAATCCATATAAATACAGGCGTTAGGAAGCGCGAATCTAGCCAGATTTACGCGTAAACCCAGTAAGTTGCAAAGCTTTATATACTACCCATCATACGTTTAGACTTACTAGTGTAAATGTAGCCACTTACTTCAGTCAACTGTTCTAACGAGATTTTGAAAAAATTTCCATACTGTTTAAAGGTACTGTTTGCACATGAACTGATGTGTTGTAAAACAAATTCGTAACGTTGAAAATATTATTGTCATGAGTTCAATAAATGATGAAACTGAGTGAAAAGTATTCGGCACTTGACATAATTTCCACAGACTTATGGGTTAATTTAGTGTAGCATAAATAATTGTCATGAATTTAATTTTCGTAAGGTCCAAGTCAAATTTTGCACATTTGTGAGGAATCATCTTACCTACAGTTTCTGTTTAACTTTCCGTTGCCTATTTATCGAATGGCAACAATTTAGTGAACATATGTACAGTGCCCTGAACTCCTTTAACATGGCGGCCTATAGGATTGTGCATTGTGGAACCATACGTAAGTTGATATATATATATATATATATATATAATGTGATGTCATTAGTTAAATAGTGGTCGGAACATTTAGCTGAAATTATGTGCGCAGAGCAGAGATGATATCGAATTTGCCTGTCAAATTTTACAAAGATCCCAAACTCACATCATGAAAATTATTTATTCTACACTAAATTAACCTGTAAGTCTATGAAAATTACGTCAAGTGGCCGAATACTTTTTGCTTGACTCTGTATATCTGCTAAAGGCACACATCACAATACCAAGATTATTAGCAGCCAGTGTGAAAAATAGTTTCCAAATTTTGTAAGCCAGTGGGACAAGGTATGCCTGAAAGTTACAAGCTCACAGAATAATTCACTCGTCCAAAATTTGAATGTAGACACGAGTTTCATCATTAAGTTGCTAATATGATATGATGATTCAAAAGTGTGTTATAACTTAACAAGTCGGAGAGAGTGATATATTTACAAAATGACCCCATGAAACTGTGTTGACCTACTGGCCCGACTGTATTTTTACTAGCCACGGGCTAGTGGGCCAGTGGCTACTTTACACACTGTTAGCAGCGGACTGAGATCGAGTTATTGGAATGTCGCAGATCTAGGAGTTTCGAACAGCCATATTGGTCGAGCGTACGAAGCAGACCTTCATTAGACTGATGAGACACGTCGGCCAGACTGTCCCAGAATATGAAAGACCGAGGGTGATAACCCATAAAGACGACCATCATCTGCGCATTGTCCATCAACGCAAGCGGATGGCCACAGTGACGTCATCAGTGACCGGTTATGCAATGATGACACGAGTCTGTGTCGGTACTGGGCCTATCGAGCATTTCGCGACGTGTCCAGACAGTCAATCTTTATTTCTGCACATTCCGTTGCACAATTACACAGTCATATAGTCTAGGCGGTAGACATTTCAGAAAGTAACATTGTTTTCGTTGTTAAAAGGCACAATGAGCGTATAATGAAACTCATTCAAAACGCCATAGGTGGGTCTAGAGAGGGGTGCAGGGGTCTCCCCCCCTCCCCTCCCTTTTGTCCTCAAAGTTTATTAAATGATCATTGAAACTCTCGTGAAAATGAAGTGTGCTTCCCCCCTTTCACAAGTTGTCGTTTATATTCATATCGTACCTATTGTTGTTTTGTATGAGTGACTCTTCGGGCTCATTTTTGAAGGTTTCATTCGTTCAAAACAAAATGGCTTTATCGTTGTGGTTTGTACAGAACGGCCCAAAATCGCCTAAAATTGTGTGGAGGCAGAAGACCAGACGTCCATGGTTATCCCTAGAGCACAAAGCAACGCGACAAACTTAGTGTCAGGGGGAAAGGTCCACCGTTTGGGCGGGAGTTGATGTTCATGGCGTGATGGCGTGTGGCCCTGTGCATAGAGCTCAGGTCTCAATCAGTTTAAGTTAAGCAACGTTGAGCGCGGAGAGTCTTTGGATGACCATGTTTGGCAGCTTGACTCCTGAGAGTTTCTAGGACTTCCCCACAACGAAGAACATGTGACACATGTGATCTCACCTTAGGCAAGTGAGTTTGTTCAAAATTGCCTCTGTTCAACAGCTGAAAATGGGTACCCGGTGGGACAGGTCATGAGACCAAAAGTTTCAAGACGGTTTTTTATCACATTTGTGATTATCGTAAACCACATCGAATATACACGTCGCGTTTTACTTCAAACAGAAGACACTTTAGTTTAGATAGGTACATCTACATCAAACCGACTAGTTATTCCACGGAGGAATGTGGGCGTATATGTACTTAGGTGGGGTAGCCTAGTGGTCATAGCGTTCGCTCGTCACGTTGAAGACCCGGGTTCGATTCCCCACATGGGTACAATGTGTGGAGCCCATTTCTGGTGTCCCCCGCAGCGATATTGCTGGAATGTATGTCCGTTATCGCCATAACACCAGATCATGGATGACCAGTGAATTATTCAATGACTGGTTGCGACACTGAACCATGCGTCTGAAAGGTCGTAAGGTCATCCTACTTTTAGACAATGCTGCCAGCCATAATCACAAAGACGTTCGACTGACCAACTTCACTGTACACTTCCTTCTTCCCAACACCAGTGCTCACAAGCAGCCGATGGACGCTCGTATCATCAGGAACTTTAAAGCCCTTTACAAGAAGTCGGTAGTAAAACATCGTCAATACGTTTTGCTTGTTTGATCCAGTTAACTGGACGCCTCGCTATCCGGACGATTCCCGAGTGTAACCAAAATGTACGGATAAATGAGGTTAGACTGTTATCAACAACCGGAAACACGTGACTTTTAAGCAAAGCGAATATATTCTCACACATGAGCCAAACAGTTTCGTATTTGAGCGACATATTTTGATAACGCTACAAATTGTCAGAATTGAATATAATAAGCTCAATTTTGTGTCATGATACACTGACTGACTGACTGAGTTTGGTTTCACGCCGCTTTTAGTAATATTCCAGCAACATCACGGCGGGGGACACCAGAAATGGGCTTCACACATTGTACCCATGTGGGGATTCGAACCCGGTCATGATACATGTACATGATACTGTCAGCCAGCAACCCATGCTTGTCGTAAGAGGCGACTAACGGGATCGGGTGGTCAGGCTCGCCTTATATGGTATCCCAATTGCGTTGATCGATGTTCATGCTGTTGATCACTGGACTGTCTGGTCCAGATTCGATTATTTACAGACCGCCACCATAAAGCTGGGATATGGCAGAGTGCGGCGTTCAACAACAGAAAAAAACAACAACCTGTAATACGATATCATGAGTATGTGAAGAAAAGCACTCGTGTACTCACCATTGTCCCACTTCCATTGCCCCTCCGTCTCCGCGTCCGACAGACCGATCCACACATCATTTCCTGAAAACCTGAGCACCTTGACCAATCCGTCGTGCACGCACACCAGCGAAACCCAGTCAGGAATGGTCACCAAGTTACCTCCGTTTGTACCACAGGCTTTCTTCGCGTCAACACCCTCCGCTGCGAGAGTCGTTAGCTGATAGGTATTGGCACCGAAACCGAACGTGTCGCGTGAGGGTCTGGTGATTGTGTAGGGGCAGGTGTTGATGGATGAGGGGTCTGCAACATAGAAATGGAGATATCACCGCGATGTTCAGGATGTAGTTTCAATTTAGTAGTCTTCGGCGAGACAAGCGAACACTTTTACCACTAAGCTACCCCACCGCCATTCAGCTAAAGATAGTAGTCCCAGAAATCATTGAGAAAGTTGTTTCGGTAAATATCTAATAAATGTATATAAACTACTCAAGTTTTACTCAAATGAATATGTTGAGATATGATTCTCTCACAGTCAAAGTGTCTTTTCAGTATTTTGTGAGATCTCCTTGCCCTGCAATACACGACTGAATGCACCTAGGTACGCTACCGATCAAAGTTTGTAGGGAATCGTGTGACAGCGTATCCCAATATTCGACCACTTCTTTCTTCATATCCTCAATATTTCTAAGTCCTTTTTGGTTTATTCTGTCCTTCATTATAGTCTGTTTGCAGTGAAAACGTACCGGTGAATTGCACTTTAAACAAAAATGTAAAACGAATAAAGTGAAATTAAGATTGCAAATCCTCATAATTCTACCTTGCCAATTGAACATGTAAATCTTAGATTTTTATTCAACTTATGAAAAAAGTTGTTTAACAAACGATCATAGTTTCAAATCGCTTATATTGGTTTGTATTACAAGGGGGTAAGCGCAGTAGTTGGAACAGTGAAACAAATGCACGTGCGGTACGTGATGGGCGTTAACTTAGACCAACCCTACTTGATCTCGGTGTTTCATTTTATGTGCATACCCCCTTGTAATACAAACCAATAATGCCGATTTGAAACTATGATCGTTTGTTAAACAACTTTCATCCCAAGTTGAATAAAATTCTGAGATTAAATTTTCAAATGGTAAGGTAAAATTATGAGGATTCGCAATCTTAATTTCACTATATTTGACTTACCGTTTTGTTTAAAGTGAAATTCATCGGTACGTTTTCACCGCAAACAGACATTTGTCCCCTCACATTCTCAATAGGGTTAAGATGTGGGCTGAAGCTGGGCCAGTCTAAACCTTGGACATTTCCGTCCGACAACCACTGTTTTGTGTAGCCCGCAGTGTTGGACAATCCAATTATCTTCATACAGTGTTTGGGCCGTTGGAAGGAGGTGATCATATAAGATGTCCACATATCGTTCCTTCGTCAAAGTTCCAGTGAAAATACACAACTGCGTCTCTCCACGCGATGATATCCAACCCCACATGTGACATTTCGGGCTATGTTTGGGGCGTTGGTAGATTGGTTTCACGGTATGTTTTATCCAAATTTTCTCACAGTTCGGAAAAAGCCAAACAGAACTTTCACCAGAAAAGAAAATATTCTCCCAATCTTGATTTTCTTGAGGCCTACACCAGTTTAATCGTCTTTCTTTTTGTGCATCTTTCATCACTGGTGAGGACATTCCGCGCTTTTTCACCCAGATAAGTCTTTGTAATTCTTGTCTTAGGGTTTGATCACATACCTGAGGACTTCCTCTATTAATTATCTCATTTCTGATATTCCCAACGCTTTTCAATTTTCCCCTACTCACAATCTGACCAAGTCACCGGTGAGCCGTAGTACTGAACTTCCTTGGCCTCCCTGTCCCATGTCTTGTGCTTAATCCCAACTCCTGACTGAACATTCTTCAAAGTTCTGTATACTGCAGACAGAGGAATGTCATGTCTAACAGTTACCTCTTTTGCATTAGTCACACCCCTTTCAAAGCTTTCTTTTCTCTTCTGCTGTCAAATCTGCCAGGTCATCAAAGGAAGCCCTCTGCTACACCAGGGGAGATAACTCTTGATGTAGGAAGGTTCATGCTTAAGCCTACAAGAGTTGCCTCCCATATTGAGTACGTTACTACATACTGTCAACAAAGGAAGCCGTCTGCTACACCAGGGGAGATAACTCTTGATGCAGTAAGGTTCATTCTTAAGCCTACAAGCGTTGCCTCCCATATTGAGTACGTTACTACATAATGTCAACAAAGGAAGCCGTCTGCTACACCAGGGGGGATAACTCTTGATGTAGGAAGGTTCATTCTTAAGCCTACAAGAATTGCCTCCCATATTGAGTACCTCACTACATAATGTAACACCTATTTCAAAATTCTATTAGTAGTATTAGGAAACAAAGATTTTCTCAATAACTTCTGGGAAAACTGTATGTCACGAGACCACCCTGTCACCGTGACGAGTTGATGTGGCGGTTTAGCCAGTGGTCAAACTGTACACAAGTGTATGACATTTGTGTTTATCTGACGTAAAATGTACCGCAATATTCCAGCTAAGTGACGTCGGTTAAACGAGTTTGGACCAGTCAATCCAGTGATCAACATTCAGTTACGAAATTTGAATACGATGACATTATTAACCAAGTCAATGAGTCCGATCAGCCGATCCCGGTTGTCGCCTCTTATGAGCTGCTAAAGATCAGTCCAAACCAGAGGTAGTTATGTATTACAATGGTATATCAAAACAGAAGGTTTCGCTCAGAAAGCGCTACGTCTGAATTTACAGCAGGTGAGTATACAGGTAGACTAACGCTTATTCATAATTTTGACAGAAACAGATAATTACTTTTATACTTAAAGAAGTGAGTGAGTCAGTGAGTTCAGTTTTACGCCGCAATCAGCAATATTCCAGCTATATGGCGGCGGTCTGTAAATAATCGAGTCTGGACCAGACAATTCGGTGATCAACAACATTATTATTATAGAATATGTATATAGCGCACATATCCAGGCAGCTAGTGCATGTTCAAGGCGCTGGTATTTTTTCCCTCGATCATTGGATGTCAATTTCAACAGCACATCGTATTATCAATCTCAACTCCCTGGGGAGTATACAACTCTTGCAGCCACTAGGCGCACCGAGTTATTGTGGCTTTCTCATCCTAACGAGGTCCCCATTCACAGCTGGGTGGACTGGGACATGAGCATCAATCTACGTAATTGGGATGCGATGACATGTGTCGCCTCTTACGACAAGTATGGGTTACTGAAGATCAATTCTAACCCGGATCTTCACGGGTTAAACTGAAAGGAGCCCCAGTGAGATGGGAGATCCTGAACCTGAGGAAACCTACACCTCCTTGATTTACTCCATTCTTAAGCCTATGATAAACTATAGAGTTACGACAGGTCGTAACGTTACGAACGCTTTGTGGATCGGGGCCCAGCATTACAAACAAGGCTGGGCGAACGGGGAAGTAATGCGGTTCAGGGACTGTGAGACAGACGAAGTGTGCAGGAAGTAGTGTCTGTATGTATCTGTTCCGACAGCTATTTGGATTTGAGCCTTCAGCAGATCCCAGCTGTCTAGGGACACAACTGAGTGATGCCATCTCTTAACCACCAGACCCGTGAAGATCCGGGTTAGAATTGATCTTCAGTAACCCATGCTTGTCGTAAGAGGCGACTAACGGAATCGGGTGGTCTGGCTCGCTGACTTGGTTGACACATTCCCGTTACCCAGTTGCGAAATTATGTGGATAGTTTTAAATAACTAAATTTCCTCCACAGGATACGAATTCGAAAGTATGGACGTCATTGATATGTCTGTGTAAAAGATACCATACCTTTCGTAGTGCGTTGGGGTTGAACTGTAACTGCAGTCGAAGACAGAGTCCCTACAATATTAGAATAGAATTGAAATTATGCTTCATTCTAGAATTTATATACATTTGTACACGAAATGTCGTGACCATAGGATTGAATAAAATAACCCAAAAACAAAATCGTAATAGTGGATTGATAATATGGATTTTTTTCATAGAACACGTGTAACATGATTTAGACAAAAGTTAGTATCGATTCTCTGACGGAATAACATTAAACATAAACTCTTAAAAAAGTAGAAACGCACAGGTCAAAAATGCATTGTCATTGTCAGCGGTAATTATAATTCAGTTCACTCACTGCACATGTGTGGCGTTCAGCTCAGTACCTGATGACATCACCCAATGCAGCCGTCACTACTCTCTCTCTCTCTCTTTTTCTCTCTCCCTATCTCTCTCTCTTTAATAAACTGGGTTGAATTTGGATGCATCTAATTCGCCCACCCCCTCTCTGTCTCTCTCTCTGTTTCTCTCTCACTATCTCTCTCTCTTTAATAAACTGGGTTGAATTTGGATGCATCTAATTCGCCCACCCCCTCTCTGTCTTTCTCTCTGTTTCTCTCTCCCTATCTCTCCCTCTTTAATAAACTGGGTTGAATTTGGATGCATCTAGTTCGCCCGCCCCCCACTCTGTCTCTCTCTGTGTCTCTCTGTCTCTTTCTCTCTGTCTCTCTCTCTCTTATGAACTGGGGTTGTTTTGGTTGCATCTTATTATCTGTCATGAATTGAGGTATTTTGGATGCATTTCACACTCTGTGTCTCGCCACACACACAGACACTATTGCCGCATGCACAGCTACGTTGTGCACAGCACCGTGTACAAGCTGCCACATGCTTACTGAATTCACATATGTAGTTGAGTGTCACGTAGACAGGGATGAGGAAGCCGGACGAGGAGCACAAGGCGTCATGCCACTTCCACGTCCCCGTCGCCATGTACACACAGTCCTTGTGACTGTCGTATATATTGCTGGACGGCGATCCCGTGGCCCAGTTCGTGTACTTGTCGGTGGAACCTGCAGGGTGGAAACACACTGTCAAATCACTGTCTCTTGGCGGGCACGGGCGGTGCAGTCTGCAGCGTCTCGACTGTGCGAGTGACTCTGAGCATTGTTTTACCCCGCCTTTAGCCCCATACTAGCAATATCACGGCGGGGGAGACCAGAAATGAATTTCACACATTTTACCCATGTGGGGAATCGAACCCGGGGTTTCGTCATGACAAGCCAAATCTCTACCTCTTGTCCAGATCCGCCCTGTGCCAACCTACTGCTCGCTAAAATCTCCCCTGCAACAACTTTACCAATTGTCCAGATCCACACTCTACCACGTGTATCTACCGCTTGGACAGAATCGTCTAGATCCACTCCGCGCACCCTTACCACTTGTCAAGGTCCACCCAACTGCTTGACTAGATACACCCTGCCCCACATTCCCTCTTGTCCGGATCCACCAACTGCCACCTTACCACTTAGATCCACTCTGTCCTACGTTATTACTTGTCCAGATCTACCCTGTGCCACCCGACCGCTGGTCCAGATCCAGACACCCTACTAGTCCAGATCTCACATGTGCCACCCCGTCATTTGTCTTCATCCATCCCGTACCACCTTACCACTTGTCCAGATCCACTCCATGCCACCTTGCCACTTGTCCAGACCCACCCCATGCCACCTTGCCACTTGTCTAGATGCACCCCGTGCCACCTTACTACTTTTCTCGATCCACCCTATCCTACTTTACCGTTTGTCATGATCCACTTGTTGTTGGACTCAGTGATGCCGATCCACACTCCCGTCCCCACGTATCTGGTCTGCAAAACCGACTCCAGGTACCGCTGCATGGGCTCACTGTCCACGTCTACCAGATGACCTCCCCTTTGTCTGTGAGGAAAATGAAATGCTGTTTTCAACCACGTCCATTGACAATCTACTTCGTCTCTTTCCGTTACCACAGCAAGAAAACGGCTCGGCTGTGAAGGTGGTCAACCTCCTCCACACATTTTCAAGACTTAAGTCTTAATGTCGCAAACTATTTGCACTGTATAACCTTTTCCCTTTTAAATGCAAATATTTATTATGTGAATATAGAACGTCAGTGCAAATGAATACCCAGTCTTGACGATTTCAGAAACAAATTTCTGTTTGAAGGGAAAATAGATGTGAAAATGATATGAATGGATTCCTGAAAATCAGTGATGACACCAGGTATTCGTGAAACAGTAAGCACGTGCCGCTCTACCGGTAACACCCGGCTTTCACAAAATGTGCACCAAAATGGAAGTATTTTTCGCCTGTGAACAAACTTGACAATAGGTTCGTAGGTCACGGCACCTGGCGAGACCGGGGACAAAATACGTACACTTGGTCCGGTCTAGTAAAATCAGATTTGGGGGTCGCACAATTTGGAACCAAAAACTGGTTCTTGAAGATACGCTTCACCGGAAATCTCATACCGGAAGTAATATGGCCCCAATCTCGCAAGTTGGTGCGCGCAAAGGAAGTCGGGAACCAGCTTAGTATCGGAAGTAGCGCCTCGCGAGACTTTCAGGCCCTATCATGTGATCTTTTTAACAGAAAGTAGAGTTAGATCATTTTACGTTACGACTGTGTAGAAGTTCTGACATTCCGATGCTTATAAGTAACGAAAACCCTCTGGGGAATAGATCTGTTTTACAACACATTGGGGGTCAGTTTCGGATCAAGTATGTCTTTTGTAGTCGACTCCGCATACTTTAACATGCTACTGAGCTAATAAGAATCTCGGGACCGGGTTAGTATTAGTTGTCTTCAGCAACCAATGCGTGTCGTAAGAGACGACTAACGGGATCGGGTGGTCAGGCTCGCTGGGTTGGTTGACACATGTCATCGTATTCCAATTGCGTAGGTTAATGCTCATGCTGTTGATCACTGGATTGTCTGGTCCAGACTCGATGTCAAACGATGTCAAACAAACAAACAAATAAGATTCTCGGGACTTCAAAGAAATGTTTCTCCTTTTCCATCGCGGTAGGTCTTTTTTCAGAAATAATTCAACTAAAATGATTGACAGCTAAAGTGCGTTATATAAACAGTTAGAATAAATTAAAAGTGACCTGAAACAGTGACCTGAAATCTTCACATGGAGCATAAACGTCTCACTATAATCAAGACAAGGACATTAAGTTTCGACCTTGACATAATCAACATTTTTAAACGAAATAAGTGTTGTCACATACATATGCATGCTACGATTTACTGTCAGTATTTTGTTGATTTAGATGAGTAAATGTTCAATAAACAGCAATAAACACATCATAACCCAGTACAAGATTCTCGATGATACGTCGCATGTTTTTCGCACTTAAAACCTTTTCATCTAAAGCCCTCTTCCCCGAGCAAGATGTCATCTTTACTTCAAATGAGTGTCTAAAATAGATTATTCGTGGATTGTATGAGCCCAGATTGAAATGTACAAACGCAGTCATTCTATTTAGATGGTAAGTGTCTACTATGTCTAAGAAGTCTTAACTGATAAAGGGGACGGTAGGGTAGCCTAGTGGGTAAAGCGTTCGCTCGTCACGCCGAAGACCCAGGTTCGATTCCCCACATGGGTACATTGTGTGAAGCCCTTTTCTGGTGTCCCTCGCCGTGATATTGCTCGAAAATTGCTAAAAGCGGCGTAAAACCAAACTTGTTCTCTCACTTAACTGAAAATATATAGTTCATAACTGACAATTAAATTGGAATTTTCCATTTAGTTTAGTTGTCTTTAGCATACACTAATCACCAACCAAGAAAGACATACTCGCAGTCTCGCTCTGCAGCTATCCATGTATCCGGCTTGCTGAGGACGAACTCAAGACAACGCTTCTGGAACATCTTCATCAGGGAACTGGGTGCTGCTGGCGTTGGACAGTCACTTGTCTCGGCGGTGCATCCTTTCAAGCAGCAAACAGTGAGTGAACCTTTTGATTGCGATATATCAGTGAGATGACAATAGGTTAGAGTGTAAAATGCCACATATGACTCTCTGGCTGACACAACATAGGGCTCTACATGCTCCAAAATAGTACAACATACGGCTCGCAACACTGGGTTCTACGTGCCCAAATATGACACAGCATACGATACATAACATAGGGCTCTACATGCTCCAAGATGGCACATCATACGATACATAACATAGGGCTCTACATGCTCCAAGATGACACATCATACGATACATAACATAGGGCTCTACATGCTCCAAGATGACACAGCATACGATACATAACATAGGGCTCTACATGCTCCAAAATAGCACAACATACGGCTCGCAACATGGGGTTCTACGTGCCCCAAGATGACACAGCATACGATACATAACATGAGGCTCTACATGCTCCAAAATAGCACAACATACGGCTCGCAACATGGGGCTCTACATGCTCCAAAATAGCACAACATACGGCTCGCAATATGGGGCTCTACATGCTCCAAAATAGCACAACATACGACTCGCAACGTGGGGCTCTACATGCTCCAAGATGGCACAGCATACGATACATAACATGAGGCTCTACATGCTCTTAAATAGCACAACATACGGCTCGCAACGTGGGGCTCTACATGCTCCAAGATGGCACAGCATACGATACATAACATGAGGCTCTACATGCTCTTAAATAGCACAACATACGGCTCGCAACATGGGGCTCTACGTGCTCCAAGATGACACAGCATACGATACATAACATGAGGCTCTACATGCTCCAAAATAGCACAACAAACGGCTCGCAACATGGGGTTCTACATGCTCCAAGATGGCACATCATACGATACATAACATGAGGCTCTACATGCTCTTAAATAGCACAACATACGGCTCGCAACGTGGGGCTCTACATGCTCCAAGATGGCACATCATACGATACATAACATGAGGCTCTACATGCTCCAAAATAGCACAACATACGGCTCGCAACATGGGGCTCTACGTGCTCCAAGATGACACAGCATACGATACATAACATGAGGCTCTACATGCTCCAAAATAGCACAACAAACGGCTCGCAACATGGGGCTCTACATGCTCCAAGATGGCACATCATACGATACATAACATAGGGCTCTACATGCTCCAAAATAGTACAACATACGGCTCGCAATATGAGGCTCTACATGCTCCAAAATAGCACAACATACGGCTCGCAACGTGGGGCTCTACATGCTCCAAGAAGGCACAGCATACGATACATAACATGAGGCTCTACATGCTCCAAAATAGCACAACATACGGCTCGCAACGTGGGGCTCTACATGCTCCAAGATGGCACAGCATACGATACATAACATGAGGCTCTACATGCTCCAAAATAGCACAACATACGACTCGCAACATTGTGTTCTACATGCTCCAAAACAGCACAACATACGAATCGGATACATAACATGAGGCTCTACATGCTGCCTAGATGGCACAGTAAATAGCACAGAACATGGGACACTACATGCACCCTACATGACACAATATCAGGTAAATTTCAAATAAATGCTCCATTTTCGCTCTCCATATAGTTCACACGGTACACAACATTGAAGCATTCATCGAACACGAAGTGCTCTCCGGATGGCACAGAGCACAACATGGCACACTCTCCGACCTTCTGGATGGCTCTCAATATACTCTGAAAACACGACCTATCACATTCCTTCATTCAACAACACCCTTGGACATCTGAATTAGAAATGATCCTCAGCAACTCAGATGCCACCAATGGGGTCGGGTGATCATGCTTGTGATTGAGTTGATGATACAGGTCATCGTGTCCCAGTTGCGTAGATCGATGTTCATGCTGCAAGTCACTGCAATGTCTGGACCACGCTCCAATATTTACATACTACCATCACGTAGCTGGTAGATTGACGAGTGTGGCAAACGTAAAGCGAGTTTTATTGATCATGTTCACGTCTTGTCATTACATACCTTAAAGTCAACGTCACAAGCATGACAAACAAATAAACAAAGATCACACAAACACGCACACAGAACTGTCATCTAGACACGCCTTACATTCCAAGTACAATCTCACCTGCTGCAAGACAGAGCAGAATTCCAACAAAGCTCCACAACTTCATTATTGCACTGAAATACTAATTCCTCCCTTCAGACACGCCCTGCTGAAGAGCTGTGTGGAGTTGAAGATAGAGGACAAGCATGTCTGTGTACCTGGAGATGAAACTACGTCGTAGGTCTTGGGAAAGACCTCACTGGTTGTGGCCCTGAACCATACAACGCGCCATGTCTCACGCAATGGTCAACAGAAGAGGTATGTTGTAAGAAGGACGAGTTGAGATAGAAAGATAAACAGGAGGCGATAAGATGTTGAATCGTCGTTTAAGACCTATATTGCCCAGACCCCTTTCTTGTGACCTCAATGGATGTCTCGTGTTGTTTAATCTCCAGATAACAGAATATACATATTAGTGTAACCGGTTAAGTTGTAATCAGCCATATCTCAGTTTTAGTTCTAACCTGAAATTAGCGACATGCTATATTAAACAATTAGCCAGCTGGTTGAAGCGGTAACTCGTATAACTGGATGCCTCGATTCCATTTCAGTCTGGTGTTCCTTGCCGTGATGTTGCTGGAAGTAGTAAATACTAAACACACTCTTTTTCTAAAACATGTATTTTGGTTGATCAGTGCTGGTTATTTCTCACCCGTGTTCGATGTTTGATAAGATTCATTAACCCTCAGGCGAGAAGTGGAATGGGAAGAGAATTTGCCTTCAGATAACGACATGCCAATGATTGACATGACCATTATGTGTTTTCACAATTTAGACGGTCCCCATATCTCGAGATTCCTTTCCTCAAAATTACTGTTATCTCGAACACATTCTCCGATGCTGAACTCCCAAATATTAATACATATATCACTTGTCCGCTTACTTTCGAATTTGGCGTAAAACCAAACTCACTCATTCACTCGTACCCATCATAGGTTTCTCCAAGCGCACGTAACTTAACTGCGCGGCGAACTGTGGACCTATGGTGATCACACGAAGCGTTGATAAAATCTACCATTTAATCAACAGTCAAGTGCACGATACCTGAGTTTGGTATGCCAGTGCCAGATCTTGTTTGACTGAGGCCATATGTATGCTTAGAAGGTATACACAGAATATGGTCAACCACATGACTGTCAACTGTCTGAAGGCATAGTTAGATTACATAAACCGTTATTCATCCTAAATCAACATCGCAGCCATGCGTTCAGGTACTCAGAGAAGTCAACGTGGTCTTTCGCAAAGCTCGCCATTGTTCAAAGAGAGAGAGAGAGAGAGAGAGAGAGAGAGAGAGAGAGAGAGAGAGAGAGAGAGAGAGAGAGAGAGAGAGGAGAGAGAGAGAGAGAGAGAGAGAGAGAGAGAGAGGAAGGAGGAAGAGAAATCTAATACATTTCGTTATTTTGACCTGGAGAGGAGGAAGATGCAACCAAAAGAGAGAGAGAGAGGGAAGGAGGGGGAGAAATCTAATACATTTCGTTATTTTTGACCTGAGAGAGGAAGATGCAACCAAAATAGAGAGAGAGAGAGGGAAGGAGGGGGGAGAATCTAATACATTTCGTTATTTTTTTGACCTGGAGAGAGGAAGATGCAACCAAAAGAGAGAGAGAGAGAAGGAGGGGAGAAATCTAATACATTTCGTTATTTTTGACCTGGAGAGAGGAAGATGCAACCAAAAGAGAGAGAGAGAGGGAAGGAGGGGGGAGAAATCTAATACATTTCGTTATTTTTGACCTGGAGAGAGGAAGATGCAAACCAAAAGAGAGAGAGAGAGAGAGAGGGGGGAGAAATCTAATACATTTCGTTATTTTTGACCTGGAGAGGAAGATGCAACCAAAAAGAGAGAGAGAGAGAGAAAAGGAGGGAGAAATCTAATACATTTCGTTATTTTTGACCTGGAGAGAGGAAGATGCAACCAAAAGAGAGAGGAGAGATGGGGGAGAAATCCATTTCGTTATTTTTGACCTGGAGAGAGAGATGCAAACATTTCGTTAAAAGAGAGAGAGAGAGAGGGAAGGAGGGGGGGGAGAAATCTAATACATTTCGTTATTTTTGACCTGGAGAGAGGAAGATGCAAACCAAAAGAGAGAGAGAGAGAGGGAAGGAGGGGGAAAATCTAATACATTTCGTTATTTTTGACCTGGAGAGAGGAAGATGCAACCAAAAGAGAGAGAGAGAGAGAGAGGGAAGGAGGGAAAATCTAATACATTTCGTTATTTTGACCTGGAGAGAGGAAGATGCAAACCAAAAGAGAGAGAGAGAGGGAAGAAGGGGGAGAAATCTAATACATTTCGTTATTTTTGACCTGGAGAGAGGAAGATGCAACCAAAAGAGAGAGAGAGAGAGAGGAAGGGGAGGGAGAAATCTACATACATTTCGTTATTTTGACCTGGAGAGGAAGATGCAACCAAAAGAGAGAGAGAGAGAGAGAGGGGAAGGAGGGGAGAAATCTAATACATTTCGTTATTTTTGACCTGGAGAGAGGAAGATGCAACCAAAAGAGAGAGAGAGAGAGGGAAGGGAGGGGGGAAGAAATCTAATACATATCGTTATTTTGACCTGGAGAGAGGAAGATGCAACCAAAAGAGAGAGAGAGAGGAGGAAGGAGGGGGGAGAAATCTAATACATTTCGTTATTTTTGACCTGGAGAGAGGAAGATGCAACCAAAAGAGAGAGAGAGAGAGAGAGAGAGAGGAGGGAAGGAGGGGGGGAAATCTAATACATATCGTTATTTTTGACCTGGAGAGGAAGATGCAAACAAAAAGAGAGAGAGAGAGGGGGAAGGAGGGGAGAAATCTAATACATTTCGAGATTTTGCAACCCTGGAGAGAGAAGATGCAATACATTTCGTTAACCTGGAGAGAGGAAGATGCAACCAAGAGAGAGAGAGAGGAGAGGAGGGGGAGAAATCTAATACATATCGTTATTTTGACCTGGAGAGAGGAAGATGCAAACAAAAGAGAGAGAGAGGGAAGGAAGGAGGGGAAAATCTAATACATTTCGTTATTTTGACCTGGAGAGAGGAAGATGCAAACAAAAGAGAGAGAGAGAGGGAAGGAGGGGGAAAAATCTAATACATTTCGTTATTTTGACCTGGAGAGGAAGATGCAACCAAAAGAGAGAGAGGGAAGGAGGGGAGAAATCTAATACATATCGTTGTTATTTTGACCTGGAGAGAGGAAGAGGCAACCAAAAGAGAGAGAGAGAGAGGGGGGAAGGAGGGGGGGGGGATCTAATACATTTCGTTATTTTTGACCTGGAGAGAGGAAGATGCAACCAAAAGAGAGAGAGAGAGTGAGGGAAGGAGGGGGGAGAAATCTAATACATATCGTTATTTTTGACCTGGAGAGAGGAAGATGCAACCAAAACGACCCCAATTCATGTGAGAAGAAGGTTATGATGTAACCAAAACGAGAAACCAGAGGCAACCCCACCGGCCTTTGCGATTATGTCTTGAAGAGCGTGCTTGTGAGTGTGATGGTGAGAATACTGGTGCGTGTGTTAGTCTTGGTGAGTGTTTGTTACTCTTGGTGACAGTGCTTCTGTGGTTCTGTATTTGGTTTCAGTACACATGTTTGTGGAGTAGTGGTTAGAAACAATGAAACCAAACGTGCGTTATGCTATTTAATCATATCAAGCAAATTAGTTTCATGATGAATTTAGTTTCAATATTTATTCTGTTTTCAATAGTTATTGTATGGATATATTCTAAGGAACTCTTCAACGTTCATGAATCGTTTTGAAAATATGAAATTGGAAAATTGCCTCAGACCGGACTTGAATTACACGGTCATTGATCATTGTATCATCGACCCGATGCCAAAACGCTACAGGTTCAATATTATCTTATATCAGTTTGTTACTTGTTCACCGACATTCCGCGCAATATTTCATGTTTTAACAGCTGTTCGCGTCCAGAGGACCATTTATTACGAGGAAAAGGCCACGTGGTCGGGTTACGATACGACGTGAGATAGTTAACGTTGTTTCTTTACGTACGCTGCAAGATAACTGTTTACATAAAAATACCCGTAGCCGTATGAGCGTTCTCAGCAAATATCATGACAAAGGCCGTCACTATTACAGCTATTTCTAAATGTAAGCGACTTCCCTTTTGCAATAATATAGTTCTGGCTTGTTTCCCCATCACCACGTTTAGTTTTCTTTCCGTTTACAACAAAGGTTTCAATATTCAACGTTCAAAATAAAAAAGGGTGTATTCTGTCTCTTTCAAGTCTTTTTAGGGTAAAAAAGAACAAGAATATATGACAGTTCGTAAATTATCTTCATCCTTCAAGGCATAACAGTCAAGTGATATTTGAATAAATACTCCATAGATCAGTTCGTTACCTTACGTCTGTCTGAGCGATTCATCGAGTGCGCCAGCGATGTTTACATCTCATTATTCCCGCACTGTACCCGCGTTTGGTTAGTGAACCCAGCTTTTCGGCGTGACGAGTTAACCCATTTACTACGAGGTTACCCCACATCGCTTTCCTGCTTTCTGAGTATTTGGACAAACTACTTTATCACAATAATGCCAAGCATTATTTCACCTTCTGCGTGAGCAATTTATTGAGCGAGCGAGTTTTACGCCGCAATATCCGCGCAATATCACACTGAAACTCCTGCAACTGATTTCGGACATTGTAGCTATGTTTGGAGCAAACCCAGGTCGTCGGCCTGACAAGTTGAGACATTAACCAGATGCACGAGGTTACCTCACTTCTTCCAGGATATGAAACTGCCAAAAATTTCAGCCAGACCACAGGGCTGGTTAGATGTAAAGCTTGCTAGCCCTGACCAAAACTTACCTGCCCACAAGATATTTACATGTCTACATTTTAACCCGACCGTCGGGCAGGTGAATTTGAGAATCTGGCAGTCCGTGTTGAAAATAACCCGTCCCGGGCGGTCGGGCAGGCCGGTATTTCGAACGCTGCTTCATCCCTAGTTTCAGGGTGATTGGACAAACTACTTTATCACAATAATGCCAAGCGTTATTTTACCTTCTGTGTAAGCGATTCAATGAGCTAGCGGGTTTTACACCGCAATATACTGACTGACTGACTGACTGAGTTTGGTTTTACGCCGCTTTTAGCAATATTCCAGCAACATCACGGCGGGGGACACCAGAAATGGGCTTCAAACATTGTACCCATGTGGGGATTCGAACCCGGGTCTTCGGCGTGAGCCGCAATATACCCGCAATATCACACTGAAACTCCTGA